GGACCATTATCAAAAACCATAGACATGGGAACCCCGAACCGAGTGATGACATTTTTCCAAATGAATGAAATTACATCCTTCGTCTTGATTCCCTTTACAGCCTCCGCCTCTACCCATTTAGTGAAGTAGTCGACGGCAACAAGTATGTACCTCCTTCCGCCTGTAGCAGGCGTATATGGACCCAGAATATCCATGCCCCACTTAGCAAACGGTAGTGGGCTATGAATGGTAGTGAGGTCAGTAGCCGGACGGTGAATTAGTTTGCCAAACCTTTGGCACTTGTCACATTTTTTCACCATCACCATCGCATCTGCTTCTAAAGTAGGCCAAAAGTAGCCAAGATGTTTCGGGGTTTTCTGATCTCGGCACTTGGGTCAGATGGAAATCCTCAAGGGAGCCGACTGCTTGTCGGACCGCCTGTAAATACTTAATCATGGCCGGATGGGTTGCTTCGTATTCGCCATTGTACTGACTCACTATCAATTGTGAATCGGAACAGGCGTCTATTTTTCTTGGTTCCGGTTGTTTGCAGAACCCTTCATGGGGACCGACTTCTCAATTGAGATCCGTCCCTTGATTTCCTTTAGGATAAATTGACTATCCTTGTTAAACGCATACTTTGGGGAGTATGGTTTGAATTCTTTTTTCTTTTTCTGGGCCGGCTGTTTAGAGGAATCAGCCGCCCAGACCTCTTTTCTCTTCTCGTCTTTGTTTGACGACTGCTTCTGTCGTCCTTCTCTTTTGTCGGACCTTTTCCCGTCTGACTGTTTTACCGTACTACAAAGATCAGTCGCTTTTATATAGGCTTCCGCTTCAATCAAGGCCTCTTGAAGAGTCGCCACCCTCTTTCGGACCAAATCAAATTTGACGGTCGACCCGTCTTTGAGACCTCTGAAAAAGTCAGTATAGGCTACTTCATCCGGTAACCCTTGAATCTGTATTCTCATCAGGTTAAACCGCCTGATGTAAGAACGAAGCCCCTCCTTCTCGCCCTGCTGAATTGTTCCTAAATCAAGGGTCGTCTTCTTCGCAGGGATGTTCATGGCGAAGTTGGAGGTGAATAAGTAAGCAAGCGTCTTGAAGTTATTTACACAACCAGTCGGCAGGTTGCCGAACCATTGTTGTGCGATTCCTTTGAGAGTCGCTGGGAAACACTTGCACCAAGTGGGATCATCCAACCCTTGAAGGTACATCAGGTTGGTGAATGCCATCAGATGGTCTTCTGGGTTAGTAGTGCCTTCATAGGCGCCTACTAATACATTTTTCACTTTGGCCGGCTGAGCGGCTTCAGTAATTTCCTTGGAGAAGGCCGACGGCTGTTCACCAAGTCTAAGCAACCGTAGCTGCCAGTCCATAGGTTGGACATTTTTTGCTGCATGTCCACCAAACGGAGGTGGCTGTAAAAAATACTGTTGTTGCGGTACAAACGGTAAGTTTGGTACCGCCTGGTCGCTATGAAAGCCGGACTGACGGGAGGTGCCGCCTGACTGACTCTCATGATACGACTGAGTATGCCTCATCGAGGTATTTCGCAGACTGTCTTGGAAGTTTGAAGTAGAGGCCGACTCTGACAATCGGTCACTCTTCTTCTGCTCTAGCAGTAGCCGAGCGTCTGTGTATGTTTTCCTCGACCCGTCCGCCTGAATATGACGAACAGGTTTCCTATTTCCTAGAGTAGGAAAACGGTATTTTGTGAAATCAAGGGCAGGTGGCTCCCACTTCCTAGATTTAGGATGAGGGGTCGCCTCTCGCCCTTGAACTGGTTTCCTCTTCTGTGAAGTGGAGGGTTTCTTAGCCGACTGCTCCTTGTCCAGAGCAGGCGGCTTCTTGTTGATCAACTCTTGAATTTCTCCCTTGAAGTCCCTCATGAAGGTCATGAGTTCGTTCCTTGTGATGGGAGCAGACCCATCAGTCGGCTGCTGCCGAACAGGCGGTGCGCCTGCTGGCTCGCTTCCAGTTTGAAGATGTTCCCGTTCCCTCCTTTCGGTATGACGGGCACGTCAGGCCCTTAGGGTCCCGTCTGAAGCTGTGTGAGCTTCAACTTCAAATTCATTCTCAGTATCGTGGTCCGACTGAACTAGAGGGTCGTCCAGGGGACGTCTCTCTTCAGGAGCCGGTACAAACGTGGATGCCATCTCAGAAGTACTCTCCCCACAGACGGCGCCAAGATGTTTCGGGGTTTTCTGATGTCCTGCGGGAGAGTTACAATTCCGAGACTGGAACCGGACGCCTGTACCTGCAAAACAAACGGATGCTCCGGATGATTGGAGATCCGCCTCCGACGGTCAAGTTAGTACTTGATTAAGGAGTAATTAATGCGGAAATTAAAGTGATTGGGTCTCTCTAGGTGAGAGTGTTTAATGTGTGTAATCTGCGTTTTTAGTGTTCTCTCCCTTAATGAGGATTAAGGGAGGTATTTATAACCTCGGGAAACGTGTCAATCTAGGTTTAGGTTAACCTTGGGCTGATTGGGCTTCCCTCGGAAGTTGGGCCTAGGTGACCGGTTATCCCAGGTGTCATGGGAAGGACACGTGTCGTTTCGTAATTGGTCCATAGTAGACGGATCATTGCTTGACACGTGGCAGACTCCTATTGGCCCATGTGACGGACACATGGCGGAACCTGATTGGTCCACTTGTCAGATGGTGATTGGTGGGGAAAAATCCCCTAATCAGTTGCTACTCTCTTCGTTCCTTTTTTTTTCTTCCTATTTGGAATCTTGACATTATTCAAAATATGAGGGAATCTTCTAAATTACTTACAATATGTACTAATATACAACATAATATTTTCATGTTAAATATTTTTATGTATGTCTCATTGAGTAATTTATTAATATTGCATTGTCATATATGTTACTAATGAAACTAACGATATTTATAATCAAAGTAATGCATTGACAAATGCGCACAGTCAAAATGAGAAGAAATTTTAGGAACGAAGGGAGTAGTAGTTAGTATATGATAATATTTACTACTATAATAGAATTATAGGACCAAACCATCATTATGTGCTACTTCCTCCGTTCTTTTTTACTTGACCCGCTTTGACTTTTACACTAGTCACCACCCCTCCTTTGACCGTCTTTTGTGAATAATATATAAGGAAAAACATATTCATGTGAGATCTTTTTGAATTCCTCTCAATAAGTAATATCATAATATATAACTTTTACAATTTTTACTTCTGGAGAATTAAAATTATTGATTGTTAAAGTTTTGCATTGGCAAGCGTGATAAAAGAAATAGGTCAAGTAAAAAAGAACAGAGGAAGTATTATTTAGTTTGTTTTTATGCTTTTCTTACTGGTCGAAAGGAGATGAGTCCATATATAGTAGTTTTTATTACAAGAAAAAGTGTCCACTCCTACAGTGTTTCAAATCTAGATAAAACAACTGATAATGAAAAAACATGATTATTAGATATGCTTACATGGTTGTCTACAATTTTGGACACGATAACTATGTTAGGGGGTTGGGGGAGGAGGGGGTGGCCGGGGGGAGGGGTGGGGGGGGGGGGTGGTTGGGAGTTCTCTTATCGAGTATAGGGATGGAAAAGGGGTCCATTGTTATTAAATTAGATTGTAATACCAAGGTTGAGGGGTTTGTCTTTTGATTGTGTGTTGCCCCTCTAGTATTCATTTCCAGATGGGTAGGAGCTTTGGAAGCTGACTATGAAAACAAAGCCTAATGGATGATGTGCATTCAGGATTCAACACCTTTATTCACTTTATTTTCCTTTTCCCCAGATAAAGTTTGATGAAGGGTATGGTATTTTTTTTTAAAAACAAAAATTTCACATGGACTTTGAGACTTACCTTTTAGCTGTATGTTCTCATCTATACCCTTTTTTTATGCTACTGTCTTGCATTAAATGTAAGAGGATTTATGCTATTGTCTTGTGTTTAATGTAAGTTGGGTACAAATTGTCCATAAGAATTTTCAATGGAGGAGACATCCTAATGATTGAATGCGGAACTTGATTAATAAGTAGTCTAGCTCAAATAACTAAGTGCTCTATTTGTATATGCTTGTGAACAACTTGTTTCTGGTAATCTACAAATTTGTTTATAAGCTTTATTGAATTTTGTTCTAGCTCGGATTCTTAAAATAAAGATATAAATTAATAACCATTATTTTAGTTTTTATAAGCTTCATTAAATCTTGTTCTAGCTCAGATTTTTGAAATAAATATGAATTAATGGCCATTCTTTAAGTTATACGTAAATTAATACTATTTGTGTTATCGTTTCCTTACTTTTCCCGAAAATCCTAAATTGTAAATTTTTAATATTGAGTCTTGCATTTGGTTGATATCCGCCATTGGTATAAATTCATTGTTGCTCCTTAAATTTGGCTACGACTATGCAATTTATTTGTAGAATTAGAGGCCTCATTTTTCTGGTGTATACAAGAAGAAATGACTTGACAAGCTAGCATTTGTAGACAAAGTAGATCCACTTTCCTAGTGCCAATGATAGGCAAGAGAAGGAACACTTTCAGTTAATTGCTCCTATTTTCTAAATCGCAACATTCATGTTGAGTAGTTTATTAGTTCAAAAAGAGAACAGTTGGGTTATCCAGCCAAATTAGAGAACCTTCAAGTAAAGATATATTGGCTTCACAAATTCATGTGTTGACTAAACTTTTGGAAGATAATATCACCTTGCCCTTAATGCTCAGCATCACTCTTATAACGCTGAAGCTCTCTGTTTGTTTAGTTCCCTGTATCAGATACTTGTGAGTTGTGACTGGCAATCCCTCAACTTCTGGCAGCATTTCTAGCTAACCTGACATGTCAGGTGAACTAAGTAACATTGTCTTGGTTGCTTGCCCTAGTTTATATGTGTGCCTGATTAAAGCAGTAAGATAGGTTTTTATGGCTTAGTATGTATGTTTGCTGGAGTGCCTTCATTATATGACCTATCAGTTTTTTTGGTGAAGTTTACATTCTATTTGGATTTTTCTACCATTAGTAACATGAGCAATGATTGCTATCCAGATGGTCTTGTTCAATGTTGCATTTTTTGGCACGGGTAACTTTGCAAGTATCGCTAGTTTTGAGATATCATCTGTGTACCGCTTCATCACCGTCTTCAGTGTAAGTGAAGGAATGAACCCTTAAAATTGCTTGACTTTGCTTTTCAAACTGTTCTAACGTTGATGTGTTGCAGCCTTTCTTGATGGCAGCCCTTCTGATATTCAAGCTATTTATTCCCTTCATGCTTGTAATGTAAGTCATTCTTCCATAAGCTCTATGTGCAATACGTCTTGCTGCCTTCCTACTTTTTTTTGTTGGTTGTGATGACTCATGACAGTGTTGCATATGTGCCAACTCTTTTGAGATGTGAAAAAAAAAAAGGTGAAGGTAGTTTAGTTGCTGTGTTATTGTTGTTCTTGTTAGAGTGTGCAGGGTACAAGGCCACAAATTTATTTATAGTAGTATCATAGTAAATGTTTTTGATTTTGTTCTATGGATTGAATTAGGCTTATGTATTAACTTGTTAAAACTTGGCCCATCTATCTTAGAGTTAGGGCATCATGCTTTGGTTGCACTTTCTTATTTTCTAAATGGTGCCACATGACAACACATTTTTCCTTGTGATGGTAGTATTCGTTCTCTTCAAATGAACATTTATTTTGAACATTTGACCTGGTCATTATCAAGCAGCAATGGTAAATAGTGAACCTTTTGTAAATTGATCTTGCCAACTATAATGTGTGCTCAGTATGATTGAAATTTTCATGGAAGAAGAGAAGCCTCTTGGACTTTGTCTTCTGATACATGTATCGAAATGAACCTTTGCATGTGGTGAAGACTTTGGGATTGCATAATTAGCTTTATCCTTCCATGCTGGAGCTGTAAATACTGAAATAAAGTTTATATTGTTGCTTTACTGTTGTCTAGTATTCTGCTCAGGCACTGATAATTCTTATCTTGTACACAGCTGTGCCTTCAGCGCCATAACCAAACTGATTCGAGTCCCACGTCTGGGATTGTATTTTCTTGTGATACTGTTTTCGGACATTATGACTATTCATTTCTTCTTCCTGGTATGTCACCCGTTGACCCTTCTCTCCTATTTTATTTGTCATACTGTTTGCTCTTACCCTTAGTAACCCTAAAACTGCGGTTGATACTTGTTTCCTTGCTTTACCACCAAATTATTACTTTTTAAGTTTAATTTTGAAGGTTTTGTGAATCTTGTAGTACATAATAAAGCGTTCATAATAGTTTGAAGGCTCCCAAAAGCCATATTTGATATCAGCAATACCCTAAAGTTTAATCCTTTTCAACTTGTCAACCACGCTACAATCTTTTTAGTGGCTGATGTGACTAATTGAATGTTCTTTACATGGTGCTGCATTGGCGACATGCTTGCTTGGCCATTCAACTGTTAACTATGCTAAAATTAGCTGTCTGCCTTAAGCCTTCATCACTTGGTTGATAAATTTGAATCTCTCCCTTGATTGACTGATTGTCAAGCAGCTGTCAAGTATTAGTCTTATAGTACTAATTGTGAGAACTGTTGGTAATATGCAACTTTGATTTTGCTATTATATCTTGATTTCTAAAAGTTGCTAAAAGAATGATGTTTACCACTATTCTGAATGGCCAAAACTTCACTGATGACAAAACTTTTCGATGGAGCAGGTTCGAAATACTGGAAGTTGGATGGAAATCGGGAACAGCATCAGCCACTTTGGTATAATGAGCGCACAAGTCGTGTTTGTGCTTTTGCTCTTTGCATTGACAAATATATACACCAAGGACATCCAAATCAAATCTGCTGCTTCATTGTCCCGGAAATCAGTGTAACGTATGGTTTTTTTGGTTCATTACAGAGTTATGTCTCGCCATTGTAGCAACGTTAGCAAGAAATTTTGTTAGTCTGGTTTTTTTTCTTTTGTTTTTTTCCTCATAGTGTTCCTTTGTACAGTACCATACAGCGTATATATGGTACGGAGTATTATTTAGTTAATTAGTTTGTCTTTTAGAGCTGACAATTGAAATGAAAAGAGAAAACAGTTTTGATTCCTTTTTTATATATATCAAAATGATACATTTATCATATTAACTTACTTCCTCCGTTTTTTTATATTGCATCGTAGGGGTTTTGGAGGCAAAATTTGATAGTGGAAAAAGTAAGAGAGAGAAACGTAAAAATACAAAATTGTCCATGTAATGTAAGATAAAATAAAAAGTAAGTGTGAAAAAGTAAGGGTATGTTGGGTATTTGCAGTATGAACGTAGATATTTTTTATCCTAAAAAGGAAATGATGCAATAATAAATAAACTTCCTAAAATAGTAAGTGATGCGATAAAAAAAGAACAAAGGAAGTATTAAAATTCTATACCAAAACTTTGTACCAGTCAAGCAGTCAAGTATTCAAATGTTATACAACATAGAGGTGTCAATTCGGAAGTTTAGGTTGAGTTCAATAGCGTCAGGTTAGGCCAGGGGTAGTTTGAAGTTGAGTCAGGCTAAATCATTATGCATTAAATTCTAAATCGGGTAACTTTTAAATTGGGTCACATTAGTTTAAGTAGGGTGAGTTTTGACACCTCTAACACTACTTTTATCGTGGAATTGAAGGGTAATAATTAAAATCAAAGTAGTTGAAGAGTTGAGGTGTAACTATGAACCGCAATGGATCAAATTTGTGTCGGATGGGGCTAAATCCTAATTCGGTCCGCTTGATAATCGGATCATGGACTCGAATCCGAATCTGCTTGAATTGAGTCCGAGTCCAATTTGAGTAATGTTTAGCATTCGAATATGGTCCGTTTATTTGAACATCAGATAAAATTCGCTCCGTTTGTGTGATATACTAATAATTGCTAGTATTTTCTCTAATAAATTTCATTTCTTACATCATATTAGTCGAATTCAAAGTCGAGTTTGTGCAAGATCCAAGTCCGATCTACCTCCTATTGGGTTTTGAATCTATTTACTCGAATTCGGATTCAGATTATTTAAAACAGATTCGTATTGGACGTTTTCCTAGTAAGGATCAAGTCGGTTTCAACTCGAATTGAATTTGATAACTGAGCAGCTTTGCACATGTACTTTGACTAGTGAGTTATTTGGAATAATTACTTTAATTAGTGATGGGCCAACAGAGTAGACTCGTATTAATTAAGATCAAAACTTTGTTAGCAACTTAGAAAGTTAGATTCAATCAAATGAGCTGTTAAATTAAGATTTTCATTGACATGGAAATATTTTGTCCAATAAACACCTGTTGGTTACATCATATTGGACATTTTTGTCTTGTGATCTTGTCATCTCTAAATTCTGGTTTAATGTGCAAGCTATGCATGATGGTTACTAATACTTGTGTCAATTCGGGTATTCAGGTCAGGTTTGAGTTGGGCCAATGTGGGTCGGGTTAGTTTATATTGGGTTAATTCGGGTTAATAGCATTACCTATGCGGGTCGGGTTAGATTCGGGTCATGTTCGGATCGGGTCACGTTTGGGTCATGCATCCTATTGGGTTTGGGTCGGGTTCAGGTCGGTTCTATAACAGGTCAGGTTGAATTTAGGTCGGATTGATAACATGTGAGGTTAAATTCGGGTTTCAACGGATTATAACGGGTTAGGGTCATTCTCAGGTTCGGGTTGAGTTTGGTGCAATTTAATAATTTGCAAGTTTTATTCAAGTCTTCGGGTTCAGGTCCCAAAACCATGGGTTACAGGTCTCAGGTTGGTTTTATGTTGAGTCATATCTTGTCAGGTCAATATTTGATTACCATAGTTCTAGCAATCAGTTAGCTGGTAACTAATTGCTAAATGTATGGTAACAAATATTGACTAACTAAAATAGCGAACTGATTACTAGAAGTCTAGAACTATGGTAATCAAATATTAACTAGCTAAATAAAGATACACTTTGTGTACAATAATTAGGGAACATATGCTTAATATATTCTAACACTTATAAATGAGCAAATAGCTATAATTTGTCTGAGTAAGGATTAAGAAGTAGTATGTATTGAACTATTGACTATTGAACTTTCCATAGAGTCATAATAACTCGTTTGCACAAGCACACAAATGACACATCTTGTCATTTATTTCATATAATATTATCTTATATTCTTATTTGCGCAGCGAACATCTTACTCTTAATAGAAATAATTTAGAAAGGAGTATGTAACTATATATTAATAGGTGGTATAAATTAAATTTGAAATCGGTTCAGGTCAATAACAGGTCAAGTTGAGTCCGAGATGAGTCAAGAATATGTCGGGTTTTAATTTGGGTTGGGTCAATAACAAGTCAAGTTGAATTCGGGTCAGGTTAGTAATAAGTCGGGTTACATTCGGGTTTTGACTGGTTAAAACAGGTTTGGGTCAATTTCGGTTCATGTCGGGTTAGGTTCAGGTCTTTATAGGTTATATTCAGGTCGGGTTATCTCCAGGTCAGTTCATGTTCGGGTTCAAGTCTCAAATACTCAGGTTTTGGGTCACCATTTTTCCGGATTCAAACAGGTCAGTTCATAATCGGATTCAGGTAAAATTTTCAATTCGGGTCAACTTTTGACAACTCTAGTTACGCACTTACGTTTGATGATATTACAAGATTATTAAAGAAAAAAAAATTAAAAACTAATAATTAGATGTCATATATATCAAATATTAAGTCAATGGAGGAAAATGGGAATATTTGCTTTGTAAGTTAATATTGTACTCTTGGTAAAAAGAAATATTACTTCTGTTTCTTATTATTTGCAACAAAAGAGTATTATTTGTTATACAAAAAAATTCGCTTTGTTGCAGATAATAAGAAATGTAGTAGTAATAGTTTAGATATTATTGAAAATAAGAATAGTTACATATGAAGTATGTACATATGACGAAAAATGTGTTAAAAAAATATTAATGGAAATAAAAAGAGTTGAAATGTAACCAATAAATGGGACCAAGTAACCCAGGTGTGGCCAATCTATGAAACTTTGTGAAAAAGAATAAAGGAACATAATTTTTACAATTTTCAACTTTATTTTAATTTTTTTTCTTTTAGTAATAATTAATGAGAAATTGAGAATTGATTTAATTTCAATGAAAGTGTTGTAATTCAATGAAAAAGGTTGGTCTTATAATTCTTTTTCGTTTTGGTGTTTTTTTTTTTTTTTTTGACGGGGAGGTTGGTCTTATAAATTTAAAAGTACATGAAGAAAATAAAAATATTTCGGAAAAAGTAAGCTTGGGAGTTGAGCCGACAATCTCTAATGAATTTTTTTCTACGTTCCAGATACTTCAAGAACCGATTCCATGTGTTTGGTGCTGGGTCCTGAATATCTTTAGATCATTTGTTATGTTTTATGTTGGGACCAAATAATTTTAAGATTTTTTTAGCTGCGTTTTTGTAGTTGATCCTGAGTTTGATGTTTTTCTTTTACATTAATACATAAAGTTTTGTATTTGAGCATGTGCAATTTAGTGTTAAAATCTTTCAGGAATACAGAAAAATAATTTCTTTATGTTTGCCTAAGAATAGGGTCTACCACAAGAATATTAATTTTATCTTTATATTTGCCTATGAAAAAAGCTTTGTAACAAGAATATTTGGGGTGAAAATTAAACCCCTCTCAGTATATCACAGAGGTGAAAGGAGAGTCTATGATTTCACGTCTTCCAACAAACTTGTACAATCTTGATTCTTGGTCAAATAACAGGTACTATACTAATGTTATTAAAAAGTATGCCAAATTATATATAAATGAAATTTGTTTTACATTATAGGAAAATTATGCTCTACTTAACCCCTTAAGTCCTTAACCCTAAAACCATAACCGTACAACCCATGTTCACATATAGCGAACATCCTTCAAATGATTTACTCCCTCCGTTCCTTTAAATGTTGTCACTTTTGAAGGAAAATCACGGGAATTAAGATGGAGAATGTGAAATAATAAAAGTATATGGGAAAGTGAAATTCCCAACCAATAAAGTAATAAAAATAATTAAAGTACATGGGAAAGGAAAATTGAAAGATTCAAGAGTGTAAAACATTAAATTAGTCAATAGTTGGCACAATTTTTATACCAAATGTTAGGGTAAATTAGGAAGAGAATTTAATAAGGACAATGAGGATATAAAAGTCTTTTTTTATGTATTTTAATAAATATGAAAACATAAAATGTGACAAACATTTAGGAGCGTCGAAAATGGCAAAAGTGTTGATAAAAGGGAACGGAGGGATTACAATTTACAGTTCACCGATCCTCGTTAAGACATTAACGCATAACATGTTATTAAAGAATATTGTAATTGTCAACAACGGTAGAAATGTTGTTCGAATATAACGTGAAGTGGGTAGTAATATGAACGGGTTCCTTAATTATTATCTTCCTTACATAATACTGTTTAACAATTTATACACCTTTTTTTTTTTTCCTTCTTACTGTAACTAACTTCTCGTGTATTACTCTGTAGTTTATGCTTTAATTCCTTTTCTTGTTCTTATGTGAATAGAGTAGGAATTTCCTTTCACACTTAGCAGTGAGATTATATACTAGTTTATTTCTCTAATAGAGTGGAGCGAGCATGTATATGTGAACTCTTTTTAACCAAGGTATCATAATCTAGTCATAACTCAATTTACTAGTTAACGAAGTGAATTGCTATTCGTCGCTCCCATTATACAAGGCGACGCTTTCATTTTAATGTGAAGTTACCGTTTTTTCCTTGTGCGAATTTGGGTTTTATAAGGCTCTACCACTTTGTCACATAGTTTCCCGAGCATTTGAATATTATTCCCGAGCACTTTGACCCACCACTTGCCTTAAAAAAATCCCGAGTCCGAAAATTCCTAGGCCCACCACCAAAAATATTAAATTTTCTAAAAAAACAAAAATTATCAAGGTTTACTGACGGGTTTTGGACGATGAACGACGGCGACGATCGTACACCGGAGGCATTTTCGGAAGAATCTGTAAGTCGTAGAAATTTTTTTTTTTTTTGAAAAAGGGACATCCGAACAAAAAATCCGGATCTTCCATGAAGGATCCGCCTAAAATTTCCGTATCCACCGATTTTTTGGGCGGATGTCCCTTTTTCATTTTTTTTTTTTTTTTAATGTTATTGATTATTATTATTGTTGTTGTTGTTGTTTTGTATTATTATTGGTGAGCATAAATTGGGTTGCGAAAAAAATGTGGTTTGCAATTGTTATTAATATTGTTATTATTTGTTATTGTTATTGTTATTATTAGTTATTTTTGTTAGTATTAGTTTATGTTAATATTAGTTAATGTTAGTGTTAGTTAATATTAGTTAATGTTGTGATATTAGTTAATGTTAGTGTCAGTTAATTTTAGTTAATGTTGTGAAATTAGTTAATGTTAGTGTTAGTTGATGTTAGTTGATGTTAGTTAATATTAGTTAATAGTAGTTATTATTATTATTATTATTATTATTATTGTTATTGTTATTATTATTATTACTATTGTTATTATTGTTGTTGTTTTATATATATATTGTTATTAATATTGTAATTATTATTATTATTATTATTATTATTATTATTATTGTTTTATAAATATTGTTATTAATATTGTAATTATTATTATTATTGTTGTTGTTTCAAAAAAATTGTTATTAATATTGTAATTAAAATACTAATAATGGAGTGTTTTGTTTGTTTTCTTTTATGTTTATAGGATGCGGAATTTGAAGACGGCTGTGACGGTGTGAATTATAGTGCTCATTTTGTGACGGACACGCATTTTTCAATGTTTAAAGATGCAGTGAGATGGGCGGATGCTGTTTCCATAAATCTTGGATTTGTTTTGGTTAAGTCGTCGTACAACAAAACTAGAGATGGGAGGCCTTATCGGTATTTGAGATAAGATCGGGGACGAAAGAGCAAGCCGAGAGATTTGGAGGGCGCTATTCGAAAGGACACAAAGACCAAAGCTAATGGTTGTCCTTTCTACATCAAGATATACTACGAGTTTGTCACCGATAGTTGGAAGATCCGGGCAAAAAATGATGCAACTGAGACCCATAACCATCCAATGATTGTGTATCAGGAGGGTCATCGTAAAATTAGTAAGTTGAGCCCGGATGCGAAGAAGGTTGTGCGTGACATGACGAAGTCCAAGGTTGCACCACGTAACATCATGGCGACTATTGCAGAGCAATTTCCTGATGATCATCCAAACATCAGACACATTTACAACTGCCGGAATGACTTGAGAACGGAGATGTCTGATGGGAGAGGAGTTAAGCAATTTCTTCATTTGGCGAGACAGAGTCAGCATCTTTACTGGGTCATGTCTGATGATCTCAGCGTTCTACAACATGCCTTTATATTGCACCCAGTCAAGGTAGACATACTACGGACGTACCCATATGTGATCGATATGGATTCCACTTACAAGACCAACCGATACGGGATGCCGTTCTTTGAGATAGTTGGTGTGACACCGACAAATCAGAATTTCCTCGTCGGTTATGTGTTCATGCGCAACGAGTGCACAGCAAGCTATCGCTGGGTTTTGCAGAGACTGAGAGAGTTGATTGGGTATGATAAGGAACCGTCGGTATTTCTGACAGACCGTGAGCTTGGGCTATGTGCGACATTGAGAGAAGTGTTTCCAGGAACCAAATCAAATCAATAATAAACCACAAAATTGGCAACATTACAACACAACAACAACAACAACAACAATAATAACAATGGTAATAATACTAATAACAACAACAATAATAATAATATTCCCAACAACGATAATAATAATAATAATAATAGTACTAACAATAATAATTTCAATCAATTTTTTTATAAAATTTTAATCACGAAAAAATACATAACAATAATACATAACAATAACAATAAAAAAAATTAGATTAGTAAAAAAAAATACATATCAATAATTACGAGGGAAAAAAAAATTCAAAAATTAATAAAAAAACATATACATAACAATAATACATAACAATAACAATAAAAAAAATAAAATTATATTACTCAAAAAAAAAATACATATCAATAATCACGAGAAAAAAAATTCCAAAATTAATAAAAACCATATTTGAACACATATTAATCACGAAAAACACACAAAAAAAAAAAAAAAGAAAAAAAAAAGTTAAAAAAATTCGAAAAACCCAGACTTCCACCTGAAAAATCCAGATGTCTAGGGGAACTTCCTGTAAAAAAAAATGAGGGTTTGGGCTTTTTTTTTTTTTTAGAATTAGAATGATAATCATAGCCGAAAGTGAGTAAAATGCTATTGAAATATAAGTTATTGTTTTTATTCTGTCAAATCTTTCCAAAATATTTATACAAGTATAAAATTATTATAAAATATTTGTATGCATAAAAATATATAATTATTATTTACTAAGAAAAATATGGGGGCTTACAATCTACCCCTCTTAAAAGAAGTTTCGTCCTCGAAACTTAACCCAAAATCCATAATTTCTTAAAACTATTACGTTTTGTATTGCTGTAAATTGCTTGTTTCTCAATCATATATACCTAACAAACTCGTACTTAGTCATATGTACTTTATTAGCATGCAAACACAACAATACTTGGCAATAATAAGCAAGATCATGTAAACTTAAAACAATAAATGGCATAAATGAGGTAAAACGCGAAATCACACTGTATTCTACCCCTCTTAAAAGAAAAGAGTTACGCCCTCGTAACTCACCTCATCAAATAACTCGGGGTATTTCCTTCTCATCTCTTCTTCGGCCTCCCAAGTGCCCTCTTCGTACTCATGCTTAGACCAAAGGACCTTCACTATCTTCACATCTTTGTTCCTAGTACTTTGCACTTTGTGATCTAGGATTTTCACTGGTCTTTCTTCATATGTCAAAGACTCATCTAGTTGGATCGTCTTTGGTTGCAACACATGGGTTTCACTAGCACATACTTCTTCAATTGAGAAATGTGGAACACATCATGCATTTTCTCGAACTCCATTGGCAAAGCCAACTTATAAGCCACTTTTCCCACACGTTGAAGAATTGCATATGGCCCCACATACTTAGCACTTAGTTTCCCCTTTTGCCAAACCGCATCACGCCTTTTGTTGGTGAGACCTTTAGAAAGACCTTATCCCCAACATTAAACTCATCATCTCTTCTCTTCAGGTCGGCATAACTCTTTTGCCTATCTTGTGCTGCTTTAATTCTTGACTAAATCAATCTCACCTTGCTCACCATATCCTCAATGAAATCTGTTCCCAAAGTTACACGCTCACTGCAATCATTCCAGCACACTGGGCTTCTGCACTTTCTTCCATACAATGCTTCAAAAGGTGCCATCTTGATACTCGTGTGATAACTGTTGTTATAGGAGAATTCAATCAAGGGAAGGTTATCTTCCCAACTCCCTTGAAAATCCAAGGCACAAGCTCGCAACATATCTTCCATGGTTTGGTTGGTTCTCTCAGTCTGGCCATCCGTCGCAGGATGAAAGGCAGTGCTCATCTTCAAGGTAGTCCCAAGGTTTTCTTGCACCTTCTGCCAAAACTTAGACAGGAATCTCGAATCCCTGTCCGACACAATGTCCTTGGGAATTCCGTGCAAACGAACCACATTCTTCACATAAGTACTTGCCAATTGCTTCTTTTTCCAGGTCTCCTTGATTGGAATGAACATCGCTGACTTAGTAAGTCTATCTACAATCACCCAAATTGTGTCATTCCCACTCCGAGTCTTTGGTAATCCTGTTACAAAGTCCATGGAAATAGAATCCCATTTCCATCCTGGTACCTCCAATGGTTGCACTTTCCCCATGGGTCTCTTGTGATCTATCTTCACCTTCTGGCATGTCAAACACTTAGACACGAACTCAGCAACTTCTCTCTTCATATTCGGCCACTAGTAGAACTCTTTCAAATCCTTATACAGCTTATCTCCCCCAGGGTGAACTGAGTAAGGTGTGTTATGGCACTCCTCCATGATTCTTCTTTTTATATCCTCACACTTCTACGGTATGCACCATCTCTCCTTGTATCTCAGACTCCCATCCTAATGAATCTTGAATTCGGTCTCTGCGCCGCTAGTCACTCTATCCCTAATCCACTGAAATGACTCATCCTCCCTTTGTTTTTCCTTAATCTCCTCGAATATGGATGGTTGAATCTTCAAAGCACTCAATATTTCTTCTAACTCTCCTTGACGAACGACTTCAAGGTTCAATCTCATCATCTCCTCACACAATTCATCATCCACAATCAAAGCATTAACATTATGACTCGACTTCCTACTAAGAGCATCTGCAACAACATACGCCTTTCCCTCATGATACTGGATGTGTACATTGTAGTCTGTGAGGAACTCTAACCATCTACGTTGTCGCATATTCAAGTGATCCTGGGTGAAAATTGTATTTCAAGCTTTTATGATCTGTAAAAATCCTACAGGTGACACCATAAAGATAATGTCTCCAAATTTTCAAGGCGAACACAACAGCTTCAAGCTCCAGGTCGTGTGTAGGATATTTAACCTCATGTGTCTTCAATTGTCTCGATGCATAGGCAATCACTCTCCTATTCTGCTGCAGAACACATCCCAGACCATGCTTTGAAGAATGGTATACCTCGAATCCGTCTCTCCCATCGGGCAACACTAGTACTGGTGCAGTGGTTAGTCGCTCTTTCAGGGTTTGAAAAGCTACTTCACAACTTTCGTTCCACTCAAACTTAGTTTGCATCTTCATAAGAGCAGTCATGGGTCTGGCTATTCTCGAAAAGTCTTTAAAAAACCTTCTATAATACCCAGCTAATCCTAAGAAACTACGGACATCAGTCACATTCTTAGGAGTAGGCCACTCACTTACTTCCTTGATCTTGGCAGGATCCACCGATACACCCTCCTTAGAAATGTAGTGCCCTAGAAATGCAACCTTTTCCAACCAGAACTCACACTTTGAAAACTTGGCATACAACTTGTTACTTCTAAGAGTTTCCAGAATGGTTCTCAAATGTTGAGCATGTTCCTCCTCATTCCTCGAATACACCAATATGCCGTCAATGAACACAACCACAAACTTATCTAAGTATTTATGAAATACTCGGTTCATCAGGTCCATGAATATGGCAAGTGCATTGGTTAACCCAAATGGCACGACTTTAAACTCGTATGCCCATAACGAGTTCCAAAGGTTGTCTTTGGAATGTCCTTATCTGCAACCTTCAACTGGTGGTACCTCGACCTCAGATCGATCTTTGAAAACACACTCGCCCCCTTCAGCTGATCAAATAAGTCATCTATCCTCAGTAAAAGGTACTTATTCTTCACGGTCACATTATTTAACTCTCTGTAATCAATACATAGCCTCAAACTCCCATCCTTCTTTCTCACAAACAAGACTGGTGCTCCCCAAGGTGATGCACTAGGCCTAATAAACCCCTTATCCAATAACTCCTGCAATTGAACTTTCAGCTCACTCATCTCAGCTGGTGCCATTTTATAGGGCGCTTTAGAAATAGGTGCAGCTCCTGGAATTAAGTCAATGGTAAACTCAACTTCCCTTTTAGGTGGCAACCCTGAAATCTCATCCGGAAAGACATCTAAAAATTCGTTCACAATGGGCACATCCTCAATCCGCCTATTCTCACCCTTACTCAAATCTTGGACACAACAGAAGTACAATGGATACCCCTTACTTACCAACTTCTTAACCTTTAGAGCAGAAATGATCCCAATGCCTTTCGGCTCCCCAAAACGTCTATGGGACACCGTCTTACCCAAAGTATCACTCAGGTGCACTTTCTGTATCTCACAGTCTATCTTAGCCTTGTATAAACTTAGCCAGTCCATTCCCAGAATGACATCTAAGTCCCCCAAGTTGAACTCAATAAGATTTGGTGGAAAAACAGCTTCTCCTATTTTCAAAGGCAAGCCTTTGAATAATCTATTGCAATGAACAAGTTTGCCAGTAGGCAGACTGACCAACATATCGACATGACTCGACTCAGATAAGTTTAATTTGCGCACAACAGAAGTAGAGATGAAATAGTAAGTTGCTCCAGAATCAAACAAGGCTTTGACAGAAACAGAGTGAATAGAAAAAGTACCAGTGACTACATCTGAGGACCTTTCAGCCTGTCCTTTGCTCATCATAGACAAACACCCGGGAGTGTTGCTCTTTCCTTGGTGACCATTGTTGCCATTGCCTGAGTTTTTGTTGCCATTTCCAGGTCTGTTGCTGCCATTACTGTTACCATTCCCGAACTTCCCAGTCTGACCATTGCCTCTACCTCCCTGGTTATGAAAGTTGTTGGGCCTCTACTGGGTGCTCCCACCATTCCCACCGTTTCCTTGTTGGTTCTGCTTGGTGTAACACTCATACTCCCTATGCCCCTTCTTATTGCAAAACCTACAAGTCACCAAATTTCCTTCACAGTCTCTTCCAGGGTGGTTTCTCCTACACCTTTGCAGTTGAACTTCCTCTCCCCATTGTTAGCAAATCTGCTAACGTTCTGGTTATTCCTCTCAGATGAGCCCCCATTCTTAAACCTTTTGAAGTGACCCTGGTTTTTAGAGTTCCTAAAGTCCTTCCTCTTCTCTCCGACCTTAGTACTCTCCTCCACATCCCTAGAATTCAAACGGTACATGTGTGCAGCTCTCTCATACACCTTATCTAGGGTCTTGAAGA